TTTTATAAGCATTATTAAATTTAACGACTTTGTTCAGGTAGCTTTACCTTATTCAAGTAATGTTATATATTCAACGGACATTCAATCATGTAATTTCTTATACATAACTAAAGGACTTTCACGTAACACAGAAATACAAGTCAGAGGCCCTGGACAGATTTATATAGGAACGAAAACTTGTGACATTCTACGTACGTCAGTGTGTAGCAATAAACTTCTACTATTATGTTGATGGTACATATGCTGGGCTATGTAACAATAAACAGACATTATGGTATCAGTAGTACATCTGAACCCCCACTCATATTGTTCTGCACTGGCGATCAAGCAGGACGCGTGGTATTGGTGGGCCAAGTCTTGAACACAAAATTATCGTGATCAACGAGCGAAACAAATGTTATACGGTAAAAAATTCCCTGCTACCAATACATCACATTGAATATCAATAAGCGAGCTACTCTGGTAGTCTTTATCACTATCACTACATAGTATAAAACAAAGTCGTCCCGCTGTCTGTCTGTCCCTATGTAGAGTCCCTTAGATCTTTAAAACTACGCAACGGACCTTATATGTATAATACATTGCACCCGCGCGAAGCCGAGGCAGGTCGCTAGTTGACTACAAAATGCTATCCACCAGATTTTAAATATTCTTCACTTTAATAATAACCACAACCATTAATGTTAAAACGAATTCAATACTAAGATTCGGAAGAGTTCTTCCATAAAACTGTAGACACCTTTAGATATACGAATAGCAATCAGCAGTCGTTACGGATAAAATTACGATGTCACATTCCTTTCCGCGCCTCACTACTAATATAATAAGCACAATATTAGGTGTTGTACGACATGGCCGCTTGCCCGGCGCGTTTGAGCGCATTTGCAACGTTAGATATCGATAAATTCACTCGGAGCACACGATACGGTGGATTACGGTAATTTATTATTAGCGGCTTTACATAACGAGCCAGCGGAACGGCCGGCGGGCCTATTCGAAATGCATAAAAGTCGACAAAAGCGTACGAGGTGCGACTCTAGTGGCTCTTGTGGCGAACGAATAAGCGATTCAAATGCTAATATATCACAAGGCGGCGTGGCGTGATGCCGCTCATTGGCCAAGCTATTTCCATTAACATACATAACAGTGGTTGCCCCGCCTACCACGCTCTACGTCACGTCGCATCCGAACGCCGTTAATTACGAGTAATTAGCGGATCGTGACTCGAGTCATGATGGGCTCGCGAATATGCAATAACCACCACTCGATGAACATGATACCTCCTTCTGTGTAATCGTTCTACAGCTCCCTTCAATTATACCGACGCCTCAACAACAATCGATAATAGCGGCGTATAGCTTAATAATGAAGCTATGTACACTATTAAGCCATTTATTCTGCCATTATATGAGAAATTAACATTTAAGAACATAATACATAAATAATTATGTGATGTCGATCACTATGTACGCCATTGTACAGTATTGTAAAGGTGTACTTTAATTGAAAATTTTATATATGCTGTCATTAAATAAGACATTAAACAGATATTTAATAGTTAAAAGATATAGACCATATTTTGTATAATAGAGAAGTATATATGACAAAAGTTTCGGTTCAAATCTAGTGCACGTAAGTCGTAAGTACATTGAGGAATTGTTTGGATCAATACCCGTTGCTGAATTTCACCATAAGAAAACTCGTCTAAACGTCAATGACCATCGACACCAAGTTGATGGCTGATGAACTGTGCGTTTTTCACTTAATTTTCGTGGAACCAATTGTCGCTAGCGGTATCTCCGGGCCGCAATGAGTTAGAGCCCTTCAAGAGAAGAGCCTGCTCCGTGTTGAAAGGCTGGCACAGATATGACTCATCCGATGTTGCCAGGGTCCATATACGACGGCGATCGCTTACCATCAGGTGACCGCTTTCAGGTAAAAAAAATATTATGAGACATCCTATTACGAGGACATTTTTTATAATCTTATATATTAACAAATGTCGAACACGTAGTTGTTTCTGAGTGAACAGGCTTATGTCTACTCCTTCTTGTTTTTAATTGACTGTAGGAATCTGACCACACCTGAATACAAAACTTTTTTCGGGAAACTTATCAATTATCACAACACATTTAGTAAATCTGTTAATGTGAATGAATTCATGTTTATTAGATAGCATGTAATTTATTTAGTATATAGTAAATTAACATAATAATTACAAAATCTCCTCCAGCAACTCCTGTCATAACTTAAATGCTGTTAGTCCAACGCAGGCTAGTTAATACGGAACCTCAAGAGCTTTAGTACACTGAGACGTACGGAATAAACTATGGCGGTGCAACACGCACATTTGTTTCCAATAACAAGACTACTCTTCATCAATCAGTATCTTCGTACAAATAACAAATTAGCTTTAAGTAATGTATCATTACCAGGCACGAATTTCTAGCAGCACCGGACACCGGTTGCCTGTATTTTAGCAACAAATCATAAACAAACGACCCGCGGCTCACGAGCTCACCAAATAAGGTACTTAGGACGTCTATGTTCGGCCCCACTACAAAGGATTTATGTCGACTGCTTTTGGCGCAAATTAACCGAGTGTCGACTTGTAGGCGTGAGCGGACAAATTTGTAGCAGCACTCCCGTGCTAATGTTTTTCTCTTTTGTGTAGTCAATTTAAACGTTGACCTTCACAGGGGAAAGGAACCTGAAGCATTGCTTTAATTTATTGTTACAGCAGGACTATTCCTATCGAGTAATATAACAATAAGCATTGTTAGCACTACCGTAGAGTAATTAATATTCGATGATATGCAAATTTTTCGTATGTGGAATCGAAGCAAAGCATTGTGATAGAAACAATTTGTGCATTCTACATACTTTGAAGACTATTCTTTTTTCCATTAAGTCTTAAAACGACTACAGCAATATAAACAGTCGTCGCGTTACAATTTACCTATGCAAATCATCTAACTTTTACAACTTACAAAACGATATGTAAAAGTATAAGATACTTCCACTTCACATCGGCCTTCTACGAAGAAGTGTATCATCTCATTGATATGAAGTAGCTAAACTCTATAACAGACCTTGATCAAATTGTAAGCAAGCAGGCTCAATACTGAAGATTTCTGTGGTCTGTTAGGTATGAAGTAGGATGTCACAACATGAATGAAACGAACGTGCCAGGATATCAAAAGTTAACAAACGTGCCTGCAAAAGTTTAGGCTTTTGCAGATAGGATCAGACAGTGGTTTCTTTTTAGTAATAAACTACTGTCTGATTCGATGAGATCTGTGGTATGTGTATCGCCACTCAACCTCCTATGCAGAATTATTGGTTTACCAAGAAACACTGCCATCATCTCACATTTCGACTTTGCGGTATTAACAGTTAACACGAGACCAGCGCGTACGTATCACGGTGAGGCGTTGCCGGCTCGATCCGTCAAAATTATTACGTCATAATGGTATCGTAGAACAATCCGAATTCGTGGTCGACGCTATCGGTGAACCGAATCTCGGTGTTGTGCGCCTAAATGTGCGTGGCAGCACGTGGGTGACGCGCGAGGCGATCAATCATGCGGAATGGAGTTGTCCAATTTTCCGTGCCGTGTACCGCTTCTTATTATTTTTGTAATAACGCCATCAAGTGACGTAAGGCTGTGCGCCGGTGAAAGGGAAGACGGTCGAATTTTGTATTGTATTTTTTTTTTATTTATCCACTAAAGAACGCGCCCGCCGGTTTACAGTTTTAATTGTTCATTATGTAAGAGTCACGACAAATGATTAATTGTGACCAGCGAGATGGGTCAACGGTGTTATGGGATACGCGATTCGAATCCTCCCTTTCGACTGGCAGTTGGCATAGCAAGGCGTAGAATAATAATTACTGTAATGGCGGTTTTATTAAGTATAATTTTTGAGTACAATTGACGTCTCCTTTTAACTATATATGTGTTGATATATGTATTGTTGAAACACGAAAATGAAATTCGTTACACTGAAAGTATGGTCCAAAATATAAAACATTTTCTAATTTTCTAATTATTATTTTCGGAAATAGTTTTTGGTAATGTATATCGTGCTCGATTCTGACTTTACAAAATAATATTTAAGTATAATTTAAATAAAAATAATTGCTACAGATTTGACTAATAACGTGAAATTTGTATAATATAAAGATTATTTATCCTAAGACATCCTCGTCGTACGAAATAACTACAGCCATAATTGTTACAATATCAATGATCCAAACAAAGTGTTATTAAAACGTGTTAACCAACCTGGCATTTCTCGTAAGTTCAACTGAACGTTACGAAATTTCGTGATAAAATCGATTTTAAATGAAGCACGAGAGCGCTCTAGTAGAGATTAAGACTGTCAATACAGATAATGCTCGGCGTCTGTAAGGAAACTTGTTCGCGGGCGATATGTATTTGCGGCATAATAAAGCAGCCAATAAAGTTATGTCGATAATTAATTGAAAAAAACCGTAGTGGATTCGGTATCGAGTGCTCCAGATACTGATGTCGTAAGTGGGCGTTCACTGGAGGCGAGCGTAGGAGCCGGCAGCGATCAGATGGTCACCCGGTCGCACTGGTCGCGTCGTTTCGCAATTTCGGCACACATTTTAGCATACCGACAGTCGCTCGGTTATCAATCGAACAGGCTGACAGGTTGAATGTGTTTTTGAAACTAATTAATCAAGGTAGATAATCGCTGCGCCCCGTGTTCCGTTTGAGCAAGTCTTTACGACCTCTGAACAGGTACCACACAGGTGATGCGTAAACGTTCGACTCATTGAAAGTGGCTGAAAGAAAAACATCAGTCAAATTAAAATAGGAAATCGGCGTAAATGCTTTTGCGTAGTAAATAATTAGAGTTTGAATAAACAATAACGAATATTACTTGATATAACAAAGTTCTGGTTGTAAAGATTGACTGTAAATTAAATTAAGAACCTAATGGACGCTATAAACGGTATTTGTTAATATAATGTTTGCCAAGAAACAGATTGTTTTACGGCCTATTGCCAGCACTGGCTACAGCACGAACATTGTTGCAGGTCGGTGGCGCACGAGCCAGATGAGCGCGTGCGCGGCGGCCGCCATGCGCGAAAAACACGCGGCGCCGCGCCGCCTCGCCTCGCCGCCATCCTCGCCGCACGACCACACCAGCCCGCTGGGCTCCCCGCGGGCAGATGAGCCCCTCGACCTCAGGGTCACGCACAAGCGCCCGCAGCGGCTGGAAGACGAGAACTGCAACCTGATCGTGCCCTCACCGCCGCCGCACCCCACGCATCCGGCCCACCCGGCACACCCAGCGCTGCTGCAATTCTGCCGCCGACTGCCGCTCGCCCTGCCGGCCTCTTTCGGCCGCTACCCCTTCTTGCCGGCCGCGGCGGCCACCCTCCTCGCTCCCGGCGCCCCCCGGCCGCCGCCGGTCCCCCCGAACCCCGGGGTGAACAGAGCCCGCGACAGATACACGTGCTCCTACTGTGGCAAAGCGTTCCCCCGCAGCGCGAATCTAACCCGACATTTAAGGACCCACACGGGCGAACAACCGTACCGCTGCAAGTACTGTGAACGGTCATTCTCCATTTCGTCGAACCTCCAACGGCACGTGAGGAATATCCATAACAAGGAGCGTCCGTTCCGATGTCGTCACTGCGACCGCTGCTTCGGGCAGCAGACCAACCTAGATAGACACCTGAAGAAGCACGAAGCGGAAAACGGAGATGACAGCCGTCGAAGATCGCCGGAGGAGACGTACTTCGAAGAGATTAGATCGTTCATGGGACGCGTTGCACCGGCGCGCCGCGCCGCCACGGCCGCTGCCAGCGGCATGGACCACACTTGATAATGCTTTTAACGAGTATAATTTGCCGTTACAACTATCTGGTCGACCCATCCAAATGACTCTCGTGTATAAAGTTAACGGTACCTATTGCTATGTGAGATATTCGATTGATTTAAACGCGCCAATGAAACTATTACATCGCTAAGTTGCATTCCTTCTAAATATTAAAAGAGAATTATGGTAAACACGCTGTAAATATTCTTTATTGTTACCGAGCACACTCGATTTTTACTTTTCCTATTCCTGGCGCTGACAAGTGATAATCTTAGCTACTTGCCACTGTGTCGGTTGGTAGCATTGATTGTATGTATTAATGAAGTGATAACGTGTCGTGTACTTAATGTAAATATAAGAATGTGCAAAATAGTTTAGTTCCCGTACCGAATTTCCACTACCGATAGAAATAAACTAGCTGTACGAATATATTCCTTGTGCATAAACAATATAAGTGTCAAATACGCTAAGTAAGTGTTCAGAGAGTGTTCGCTATTTTAGTTTTAATTATAAATAAGAATTGCATGAGTGTAAGATGACTTCTTGTACTATTAATTTGTAAATTTTGCTACTTTTGATGTAAAATAACTAGTGACGTAGTCTGAAAGAAAACGCCGGTTACCAATAAATATGTATAATTTGTTGCTTATAAATATTTTAACGAAATGTTAGTAAAGTTGTTCAGAAATTATCAGAATAACTCTGATGTTTATTATTATAGAGTGTGTTGCGTAAATTATTTAGTTTTATTGCTTCATTGCACAGAAGAAAATACGAATGTTTTCTATGTACTCGCGATTGTTAAGTTTCCAAATATTACGCAAATCGAATATTTTATTTCATGTTTTGAGATTTTAAATTAGATTTTTATTTGAAATAAAGCAAATGTCTAATACAAGTGATTTCGAGTGAAAAAATTGGATGTATTCAAAATCGAAGCGCTAAATTAAGTTACATGTCTGTGATTTTTATTTATTACTTGGCTACAATTAGATTCATCAACAGTCCATTATGCTTAAAATCTTTTAAAGAACTACTCTCGACGTTCCTCTAAGAATAGATAGATCTCTAATGTTGTTACGAGTGTATAATAAAGGTATAAACTTAAAACAATATTAAACTAAAACTGAAATTGTATGATATTTAAATACAGATCAAGAAATGTTGAGTCCCAATTTATTTACCAATCCACGGTCCACTGTGCTTTGTTTACTTTACCTACCAAATTATTTTTTGAAATGTTTAAGAGATGCTATTTAACTTATCACTAGAATATAGATGAAATAGAGATTATTATTACCTTTGTCGTTTTGTACTTTTGATACCTATTAGTTGATCAAAGGTCACCGATTACCTTGTCAAAATAAAATAAATGATACAAAATTCGTACGTTTTTAATTCACATCCCTAAATATATTTTTTTTATTCAGCACAATGAAGTAACGTAAATAAGTCTGACATTGTGAACGTGAAGTATAATAGAATAGTCGACATAGTATGTATGGTTCCACTAAGTATATCTTTCTTATAACAACAATTTATTATTTATTAATTTATATATTGTTAATAATTTTGGTATATAATTTATATTCGTATACAAAAACTACTACGAGCAAGAAACCAATCAATTGAAGTTCTCGCAATATTACAATACATTTTACATCGTTAAATTTTTTTTATTTAATTAATATTTAAATAGGATAAAAGAATTTATGCGTACTTGTATACAAAGCAAAATTTTCAATTAATGCACGAAAGCTACGATAACTTTACTTTTCAAAAATTTGCGAGTGAATAAGAAATATTTAAGAGTTTAAATGTTCCATCTCCAAAAAACAACAGAATTACAAATCACAAAATTCCTATGAATCTCTGCGGACAAAAACAAATAAAAAACTTAGAACGTGAATCAAAGAAAAATCATTCATGAATAAATGTAGTAAGCCGGAGAGGCTTACAATAATACAGCAGCATAAGCTCTGTAGACATAATACGGGTTAGATCCAATTCAAATGGTATTCAAATAGTACGCCATGTTGGAATCGAAGGGCGCCGGAGGCGTGCTACATTGCGCAGCCTCGCAAACGTTTACGATACGATTATACTTTATTGCCATTAATTTGCGACAAACGAATCCGCCCAGAAACATCGAGACCGCCATATTGGCAAACCATTAAATTTATTGAACTAATTGACCGTTGTATGCAACCGCTGCGAAGTACGACCCCGATCAACGCACTGGCCAGTGTTTTCATATGAGGTTTTGAAATGTCTCTACGTATGTACATTTATTTAATTGTATCGCATATTTCAAAAGCTAATTACATGTAGGAGGTACATTGCTTCGTTTACACTTCCTTTTTGTTTGTTTTAATTAATCTTTATCGTATAAATCTATTACAAGATATTTGAAAAAGGTGTTTGGATAAGCGTAATAATAAATATATTGTTAATACTAATGATATATTGATAATGGAAACAACAAAAACTTTAAGTCAATAAATTCCTACGCAAATAATCTAGTATAGATCTAGGTCCAGTGGAGTGTAACTACGGCTATCATTCTGAATGCGACTTTAACGGAATCACTACAAACGCTGACCACTGTAAGTGATAAAATTTTAGCGACGAGCTCATAAAAACTATTAAAAATTATGTAAAATTACTACTTTAGTAATTTTTTTTACGTTAATGAACTTAATACAAAACTGTAAAAAAATAATTTATGAAACAGTATATCATGGATAGAAAAATTGAATCTGAATGATACTTTAATTTTATTTTAAATGGGACCGCATACGCTTGCTTTATTTAGTGAGGGTTAAAACCGCCACAGACACCCAAAACACTGGAGGTGTTGCAGAAGTTTTGCGAACCTTAAATTTATCTCTGGTTGACCCATTCACAATGATATATTCTTTTGCTCTACGCCTTGGTGCTTCTCAAGTCTTGTCTTTGCTGGGTGTTGTTTTCGCATTAAGTCTGCAGACCTATAAAAAGTTTCATCGGCCATAGAGCAGCCTGTCTACAGGCGTTTATGAACGAGAAGGGATCTCTTCTGTAGACTAGACGGTACAATCTGTAAGCAGCAGAAGCCGTTCCGTGGCACTCTGTAAGAACACTTTCATCATTAGCTTTATAGAGACGAAATAGAAATCGCTAGAGGCTTCGGCTTGGGCCACACTTAAAAGTAGCAGCGCAGGGTGGGGCCAGTTGCGCAACGATGACACGGCGCGGGCGCCTTGTTAGCGGCGCGTGCGCAGTGCGCCGTTGCGTTGCGTTACATTATTTATTGCTTATTGAAAAAGCGACGATCGCCCGCGCAGAATTAGAACTTTCGTGGTCCACGCCGCTGCACGGTTTTTGTGCGATACAATTTTTGCACCGTCGCAGAATTCGTGTCGCAATGCAACAATTTATTGTGACACGAAATGTTTGATGCAACTCCAAATTGATAGAGTTGAACAAAGCAGATATTACTGGAGGTTAGCGAATGTTGCATCACTGTATTAACAAAATAGATTTAACGTATGAATCGATAATAGATATTGTACTATTAGACCGTCGCTGCTAAGTGGCAGTTTGATTGTAATAACTTGGCTTCCACTAATAAAAGACTTAGTTGCCTTACAGTTAAGTATGAACGTTGACAAATAGTTAATATGAAGTTCGATGTCAGGACATATTAATATATCCATGCATAATCAACAAACGTTTAGAATAAAGTATCATCAATTCTCAGCATCCTCCTACCCTTGTCCCACATATGACTCATGTTGTTAGTGGTATTGGCAAGATTTTTTTGTATCTGGGCGCGACACCAACCCTCCTTTGTAAGAAACAACTAGATCCGAAACAATTATCCGGAATAATAATCTGCGAATCACACAAATACGCGCCTCGCGTGGGAACCGAACCCAAGACTCCCCGCACCGCAATCCAAGCAATACTTTCTATATGTGAGAAGGTGGCATGCGAGCTGGCGGTTCACCGGATGTTAAGTGATAATCGCCGCCCATGGAGTCATGAAACACCCGTTAGGCTGCGGATACGTTGCCAACTTTTAATAAAGTGGCTAAACAACTGTGCCAACGATTCATCTATAATAAAGTAACCAATGTTAATTTAAAATCCAATAACATTGGTTGTCCTATGTGTATATACTTTTTATTTTTCAAGGGTCGGTAACTAAGCAAGCGTTTTTTACCAAACCGTAAGTGAGTACCATCGTCAAAAGATACTTACATCAACAAAGACATTCCAGTAGGGTTGCTAACTTCTGGATTGTGGCATGGGTTGCGTAAAGTGCATGGGAGGTCCGCCCCGCTAAGCATCGGGAGGTGAAAGCGTGGTGACAACTAACTGGTGCAGTAGTGGCCGTGGTCTTTATTATGGAACCATAGAAAAGTTGTGTCATCCTGATAGTTTTTAAAGGTCTGCGCTTAAAGCTTAAACTTCTAAACTAGTCGTATAGCAATACCAAAACTTTTACTAAAATAGTTACACTTATCCCAAAACGGACTAATCACGTTTTACACATTAAATCATCATATAAGATTTTTTTTTTATTTTATCTATTTAATGTTGCACACATTTGATTGAATATTTCCTAAATGATATGATAGTCAAAACTTGTATAGACTAGCCTATCAACACATACATGCACAGTGTTTAGAGTTTGCTATATTACTCATTGTTTCATTATTAGCAGAAAATTTGAGTAATTTCTTTGTCCAAGTCTTCTCGCGTATCAAAAAAAACAGCACAATGTTAAAAGTGACCTACTTGATGAACCAGATGATGCAGATCGAAAATGCATTTAATAATTTTTACGATGTTACGTATTGACGACACGATTGGCGTCGTGGGTAGTAAACCTGCCTCTGCGCCAAAGGCTGGGGTTCGATCCCCACTATTTAAATCGAGTCCAAATATTAGAGCTATTTCCTATGCAACTGAAAAATGTGAGGACGTGGATATTTCGATTGATGGAAAAGGAAGCA